TTTTAATTTAGTGTTTTTTTGTTTTTTAAAAGAGTTCTCTATAAATTTAAAATACTTCGTACTACTCCCTCCGTCCCTAAATATTTGTCACAATTCTATTACTGAAGTAAAATGTCAAATTTTTTTCAATTCATTTTATTTACATATTAGTATAGGAATAAAAAATAAAATTTACATATCAAAAAACTACATGAAAAATTCTTCAAAATAAAGTGTCAAGAATATTTTATTTTATCAAATAACCAATGAAAACGTAGAAATAAACAAAAGTTCCCGTGACTACGAGAACTTTAGGGACGGAGGGAGTATTTGTTTTGAACTCTGTTTTGAACTCTGATCTACCGTTCATTAGTTTTTTAAGATATTTCAATTACCTTTTTCAAAGTTTTTTAAATTTCTTTTAGTTTCATACTTTTAGTTTTAATTACATTTGTTTTAGTTTTTTTAGTTTTGATATTTTTTGCAACGGAGTTAACGCAACTCGTTATGCCGTTGCAAAAGTTTAATAATTTGTTGCAAATTTTCTGCAATGGAAAAACCGTTGAAAAAATCTGTTGCAAAACGCTCCCGGAAAAAGGCGCCAAACTCCCATCATAATTGCAACAGATAAATTACCTCTCCGTTGCAAACAATACCGTTGCAAAATAGTTATGTTGCAAATTAAATTGCCTTTGCAATGTCGCTACGGAATAATGCCTGTTGCTGTATTTCTGTTGCAAAACTAACATTTTCTTGTAGTGCTAGGTGGTCCTCTATAATTGAGATTTATCCCCAAGATGGTCCTTCATAAATAATGTTACTCAAATGAGGATTAATTAAGGTTATTTTTTCTCTGCTAAATTTAGAATTAATTCTTAAAATAATCATTTATAATGAAGTGCTTTCCCAAAATGGTTTTTCTAATTAAAGATGTGTATTTGATTTGAAATTTAAAAGATTTTTTAAGTTTTAAATAATTCATAAATTATTTATGAGTAAATTTTCAAAATGGTCCTTTGTAATAAGGTGTTTTTCCAAATCAATCCTCAAATGAGGATTAACTGGGAGATATTTTGGTATTTTGATAATCCAAATTTAAAGTATATTTTTGAAACAATCATTTTTGTACAACTAAATGTAAAATTTAAAAAATACATTGAGTATAAATAATTTATGAATTATTTAAAACTTAAAAAAATCTTTTAAATTTCAAATCAAATACACATCTTTAATTAGAAAAATCATTTTGGGAAAGCATTTCATTATAAATGATTATTTTAAGAATTAATTCTAAATTTAGCAGAAAAAAATAATCTCAATTAATCCTCATTTGAGTAACATTATTTATGAAGGACCATCTTGGGGATAAATCTCAATTATAGAGGACCACCTAGGTAATTAAAATGAAGACTGATTTGGGAAAATATCTTATTACAAAGGACCATTTTGGGAGTAAATCTCAATTATAGAGGACCATGTAGGTATTAAAACTTACTGAGGACTAATTTGGGAAAATTCCTTATTACAAAGGACTATTTTGGGAATTTACTCTTTCATTAAAATATGTGAGTTTTTTAGTTTATAAAAAAAAGATTTAAATCTTCCTTACAAAATATTTTATTTTGAAATAGTCTTTAATTGTAATTAAGACTTCTACTTATTGACATATCACATTATTTTGTAGGCAAATTCTATGATAGACCTAAGGTCCCCATAGACCAACATATAAGCAAAACAAGTGATTTCTTGCTTCTGAAATACGTAGTAAGCATCTATTTTCTTTCAAAAAAAATAAGCATCTATTTTTTATTAATTTTTTTTTAAAAAGAAGTTTTTTATGTGAGAAAGTGCACAAAAATGGTATGCACCCAAAATGCACCAAAGAAGCATTTTAATTATCTCAAACACAATTTTTATATCATAATATGAGTTGTCCTTCATCAAATTATATCTCCAATTTTCAAATTAGATTATGTTATATTTCCAAAAAATGGAAATTGAAGATGGAATACGAATAAAGGCACAACTTAAAATTAGTGAATTGTATCTGAGTTAATTAGAAACGCAATACTATGAGTATGAATAAATGTATCATCTCAATTAATTAGAAGCCCTAATTATGTTTAGGACCACTTTCAATATAAAACTTTTTGTTCAGATAACTTGAACCATTTTTTATAGAGACTAAAAATCAAACTCGTTAATATTAGAAGCACTAAAAATACATTTAATCCAACAATTTTTAATTTTTCATCTATAATTAAATAAAATTTAATTACTCCGTATAATAAAACGGATGCAGAAAATATTACCATGGACCCTCCACAAGGATGACACCCACCAATCAAGAAATGATCTAAATTTTTTAAAAAAATCTCCATAGGTAAGAGTAAAGAAGTATGAAAATATCAAAATAGGAGTCCTAAGTCTTTTACGACCAACATATGAGTATAATAACAGTGTGGTGTAAGAGTACGCATTGGCAGTGTGATGAAAATCTGATTATAATTGGTCCGTCCCTGAGTGTTTGTCCACTTTTGACTTTTGGAACTGCTCATTTAAGCACTTTGACTTATGAAATTCTCTCAATGTGTAAGCCTAAAAGCAGTCATGTGTGATCTTGTTTGATTCGTCTTAACATATAGATTATTAATATATAATTTTTATAATTTTTTAATATACAAATTACAAGATAAAATGGATTAAAGAAGTGCATTGGATGGTGTGCAAAAATGAAAGTGGACAAACACTCAGGGACGGAGGGAGTAATATGTCAGTGTAATCCGTCAACCATCGGTGATCTACAGTGGCACTCTGGTGGCCGGTGGCGACGGATGACTGTGTGGCGGTGATAGTGTAGCAGTTATAATATAAGAAATCACCCTACATAGCACTCCAAGTCACTCAATATTATGCATATAACACTCTTTAATCTTTTATACGAATTTAACTATTTATAGTGTCAATATCTTCCAAGCATATCCTCTACCTTTTATTATATTATATTCTTTTTAATTACTTTTAATTATTTGATTAAACTTAGGTTATTCACGTCGCCACTCCTCCTCGGACGTGCGGCTCTTCCTCGTTTGTGCATCTCATACGTACGAGAACATCATCATACGCCGTTTATCATAGTTCTGCGAGATCATCCTCCTACGCAGTTTACCAATGTATAATGTCTAAACAAGTTCGTACGTATTGAATTAAGTTTCATGTTTAACGCTCATGTTTGTCCAATGTGTTTTGGTGTAATAATTATTCATGAAATCAGTCATATATTTTTGGACAATGTGGAATTTATACATGAAAATAGTTACACATTTTTTGCAGTGTGGAATTCATACATGAAAATAGTGTAAAATTCATACATAAAAAGTGCTATACATTTTTTTGAGTAGTATGGAATTCATACATGAAAATAGTCATACATTTTATGAAAGTATAAAATTTATACATGAAAACACTGCCACATAAATCAATGAACATTGCACTCCAACATTAAATTAAGGAACACAACAATACACTTACACACTGCCGTGAAATATAACAACATATATTCATTCTACATTGCCACATTAAATACTCACATATAAAAATCACACTGTCAACTACATAGTTACAAGTGAACAATCACAGTGTCCAAAATAATCATATTCTTTGATAGTGTAATGAATATTTGCTATTTAATTAAAGGACAAAAACGGAATCACATGTACGAAACATATATCACTCCTGTTTAGAGTATTTTAAGACTCTAAGAGTGCTATTTTGATTTTTCTTCCTTATAATATGACATTGTGGTGATTTTGACAGTGTAGCAATGACAATGTAATTAAATAAAAATAACATGACATATTAAATTAGATTAAATAATATTTTAAAAATATTTTACAAAATAAATGTAATAAAATTATTCATATACAAATGTTTAACATAAATACTTCCTCCGTCCTCAATTTGATTACAAATTGAAGTTTACGAGGAAAAATATTTCACTTTTTGAAATCATTTTATTTACAAATCGATATAACAATAAAAATTAAAAATTACATATTAAGAAACTACGTCAAAAGTTCTACAAAATAAGGAGGGATAAGAATATTTTAGTTTATCAAATATTTAATAAAATCGCGTAAACTAAACAAACACAATCACTTGGTATTATATCATGTGATTGGTCTTTTTTTGATAAAGATATTTGTACCCCAAGAGTTTGTACCATATTTGTACTCCGCAGGTGTGTACCAATATTTTGTTTTGGTGTAATGCTAATTTTTGTTAACGCACCAATACTTTATGTCAATATAAATTTTTGTTAAGACATTAATACTTTGTATCAGTGCAAACAATCAAAATCTTAGTGTATATTTTTTGGGTAAGTTTGAGATACATAGTGTAATGGTAGCATTGTCTTTTTTTTTTGTCAAATTCTAACCAAACACACGAGAGTGGACAGAGAGGAAATCCTACCAAGTACCAACAGTATCACTAAAACATTATCATAATCAATCACTCTCACTTTGAGTGCATGTGCTGTCTTGATTTATACGGAATATATAATACTCCCTATTACTTTAGTATTCTTTCTTCTGTTTATTCCCACAAATGTATGGGAGAGAGAGAGAGAGAACCCCATCCAACATTCCACTCTGTTAAATCTCTTTCTTTTTGGTGGTTCCCTTCATGCTTGATACCAAAGCTCTCCTCAATCATTCTCCAGACCCCTTAAATGAATGAGCTTTGAGCTTCTTTCAGCCGTAGCTGGCATCAGTTGGTCAGTGTTTGTCTTTGTCTCTCTGCACTTTCAGCCTTTTCTTGTTCTTGGGTCTTTAAAGACTCCATTTTTGTGCTTGTTTTTAGATTCTTTAGGAATAATATTTGTTAGCCTAGCTTTTATGGGTTATCTACAGTTTCAAGATTTGGAAATTTTGCTTTTTTCTGGGTTCATTTAATCTCTTTCCTCTTCTTTGATTGCATAATTCTTTAGTTAATGTTGAGACATTAAAACCCACATTGAATAATTAATGAAAGAAAGATTGACTTGCATCTCAACAGTTAAGGTATGGTTTTGAATTCTTGGATTATCTATTGATGTCTCCTGAATTCTAGGTTTTGTGTTCTTGACACCAAAAAATAAGCTTGTGGATTTGGAGGTGTGGGGCCCAAAAAAGATGAAATTTTTTCACTATATGAATGTTTTCTTGTTTTGAGTAACAATAATGGCTGAAATTGGAGTTACAAGGGTAGTAGAGAAAGGTCAAACCAAAGTCAAAACTGTTCCAATTGCAGTCACCCCAGAAGGTTTCTGGTGTTGTCCCTCACCAGTTGTGTTTCAAAAGTCTTCCAAGTCACAACACAACACTCTAAGCAAGCCCAAATCATCTCTGAAGAAACAAACATCCATAGCCGAGAAAAAACGGGCCATTAATGTTCCACAATCTAGGCCAAACGTTTTTTCTGACTCACCAAATGTTAGCACGTCGGCTGCAACAGAGCAGACCCATCAGCCCAATGTGCACAGGAATGTTTCTATTGAGTTTGGCGAACCGGGAACCAGTGATCTTAGAGTGGTTTTGAAAGGGAAACAAGGGTTTGGCGTCAAGTTGAATGTACACAGGGCAGTTTTGGCTGAGAATAGCAGTTTCTTTGCCAGTAAATTAGTGCCCGGACAAGAACCGGTTTTCCAGTGTATTGAGGTTAAGGATTGTGATGATGCTGAGATATACGTTGAAACCGTGGGTCTGATGTATTGCAAAGACATGAGACCGCGGTTGATCAAACAAAGTGTTTCGCGTGTTCTGCGGATTCTCAAGGTGATTTTCTTTTTCTGCAATTTGATTTTTTTTTTTGCCTAATTTTGTCAAAGAAGCAGCGCAACTAAAAACCAAACTTGTGGTTTATTCAACATGATAAGAGTAACACATACATAAAATCTTGATGGTTTATACATAAAATCTTGATGGTTTATTTATCATCACATATTTTCCTATTGGCATGGAAAATATCAAACTACACTGAAAGATTGGATTAGATTGATTATCTACTTCAATTCAAGTTCTTATTATACTTCACTATTCTTTCTCTAAGTTTCGGATGTTGGAAATTTTTTTAATCTAAGTGATACATGTGTGTGTGTGTGTGTAGGTTGCAGAACAGATTGGATTCAAATCCTGCATGCAGTCATGCCTAGAACACTTGGAAGCCGTCCCTTGGGTGGGCGAAGAAGAAGAAGAAAAGGTAGTTGCGGCGGTGGCACGCCTACAAGGAGAGGGGATGGGAGTGAACCCGGTTTTGAAACGGGTCTCGCCCGGAATATCCAAACAACCCAAAGACACACTCACTCGCATCCTCGAATCAGTGCTCAACAGCGACGACGAGAGAGGGCGGCGTGAGATGAAAACGGTCGTACTAAAGCTCCTCAGAGAACACAGTTCCCATCCGAGCTTGTCAGGCTCGGATGATATGTGCAATGAAATTCTCCACACCTCTTGCAAAAGATGTTTGTGTTCGTTGTCGGGTTTGTTCAGAAGACAAGAAGAAGAAGACGGCGAGTCGACTCAGAGGAAAATTGCCGTTCAAGCCGATAACCTCGAGTGGATGCTTGAGATGCTAACCGACCGGCAAGCCGGGGATGGGTTCGCGTCCATGTGGGCCAGCCAGAAGGAGCTGGCCTCACTGCACGCGAAGCTTCACGTGGTGGCCCGCCACCATGTGAGCTTCATCACAGCCAGGCTGTTTGTAGGGATAGGGAGGGGGGAAATCCTACCCTGCAAAGAGACGCGGCATTGTCTCTTGGAGACATGGCTAGAGCCGTTGATGAACGACTATGGGTGGCTCCATCACGGGTCCCGGTCTTTTGACCGGAGAGCCGTGGAGGAAGGGATCGGGCGGACGGTCCTGACCCTTCCTCTGGAGGACCAGCAGAGGGTTCTTCTGGCCTGGTTGGATTCCTTCCTAAAGGCTGGGGACAACTGCCCTAACCTTCAGAGGGCTTTTGAAGTGTGGTGGCGGAGGACTTTCGTAAGGCCCTTTACGGACTCATAATGCATTTAGATCAATTCTGGATCGGGTGAAATTGGATCAGATCCGGATATTTCACCTCGATTGTATGCTGGACTGGAGAATCCATGTATTGATGCTTGATTTGGGAGAGATGTAATGCTAAATATAGTAATAGATGTCTCATTGGTGTGAATGTGAATATATGATCTGTGTGATCTTATAACTGGTTTAATGTCATTTTTTTTTGGGTGTTTTTTGGGTTTTGGAAGTTTTGAGCTCTTTGATAACGCTCAATAGTCTCAACAGTACTAAAGTTAAGAGCTTACCAGTTGTAAACTTTTGAAGCTTGGATCCTTCCAAACTTAACCATACACTCTTTGAAACTTATACCAAAGTACTATGAAGTAAGACTTTTTATGTCTTTATTTCTTAAATAGAAATATTGACATTGTAAGATGCCACAATTTGATATTATGCATCAATACTTCATAATGTATTTAAGCATTACGGAGTATATATTAATATCATTTGACATTATATGTTACAGAGTACTAGTACTCCCTATATGGCTATATTTAGTTGTGAGTTATACTCGTAGTTTCATTACAAAAAACATCAACATTCTAGAGTAATTTTTTTTGTATTTAAGACAATGTGCAAATTTTTATTTACACTATGTTTGGTTCAAGGAATTTGAGACGAAAAGGAAAAGAAAATGAGAAGGAAAACATCTTTCTTGTTTGGTTAGAGAGGAAAAGAAAAGAAAAGTGGAAGGAAAAGAAAAAGAGAAGGCAAAATGTACTAAGAGGAAGGAAAACCAAATTCCTCCCGTTTTGGTGAGGAAAATGAGGGAAAATCATTTTCTTTTCTTTTCCTACCAAATTCCTTGAACCAAACATAGTGTTAATTTCTCCATCCTATGATAGATGTAACTCTGAGAACAATGTATAAAATTCGTCACTTTTAAAATTATTTTAACTATAAATTGATATAAAAATAAAATTAATTACATCATTCAAAAATATATAAAAAATTCTATAAGACTGGAGGTGACAAGAATATTTTATTTTATCAAATTATTAATGAAAATATACAAACAAATAAAAGTTATCGAGAGATTGTAATAGTAATAATGGTATTCATTTTGGGACGGAGGGAGTATTTTACAATGATTTTATATATTCCGTAGGTACAAATTAGTATGAAAATAAAAGGGAAAACTCTTTAGATAAGAGTAAAAAACTACTCCGTATAAAAATATAAGGGAGTAAATTAATAGTCATAAGTTTTTTATGACCAAAATAGGAGCTCACATTGTCATCATTACATTGCTACACTCACCACATTGTCACATTGTAACTGCCACACTACCATTCGTCGCCACCGGCCACCACACGTCGCGGATCATCGACGGTTGACCGATCAAACTAACATACGTAGTATTACACTGTCTTCTCTTTTTCATCAAACTATCAATGCGTACTCTTACACCACAGTGCCATTATACTCATAGTTTAATCTTAAAAGACTTGGAACTTTTCATATTTTTATCTCTTTTTTACTTCATACAACTTACCTATTTTAAAATTAAAATTTAAGTCAAAACAACAATATTTCATTTCTTGCGTCAACATTTGAACCATTGATTTTTTTTCATAAAACTCCATTTTGAAACCGAAAAACTTGTTGTGGAACTTCTGTACTCTAGAGTGGGGATGGATCTTTGCCCATTATCGCGCCCATCTCCGGCGGCTCTTCTCCGGCAAGGTCAAAGTTCAAATTTTTTCTCGTGCAATGCGGGGCCGTCTTTTCCCCACGCAAGATGCGCTCTGAATCCCAGCTGCGGTACAGGGGAGGAAACCCAGGTCAAAGGTCGAATGTTCATTTTAGGAATGGGATTTGTTGGAGAGTTCTTCGCTGCAGCTTTGAAGAGCAAAGGATGGTAATCATCTTTTTCACGGATCATCAATTTCAACCATATAGGCAGTTTTAATCGATCAATTGATCATTAAGACTTGTTTGTGCTTGCCTCAGGGCAGTATCTGGAACTTGTACTAGCGCTGAAAAGAAGAAGAGACTGGACGAAATGGGACACCACGCATTTGTCTTTGATGCCAAAAATCCATTGTGAGGCTTAATCTAACCCTAATTCTGATATTTGATTTCAAAATTGTGAATCAAGTTTGTAGCCTTAAGATCCACCAACGTTCATGAATTATCCAATGCTTTGTGTTGTACCCTCTTAATTTCTTTATGAGTTTTACTTTAAAGAGTCCTACTTGTTTGATCCATTACTCCTTATGTACCTTCACACACTGGCTTCACAGGTTTTTCTGGAATTTCGGAAAGTATTTTTTGGACTTTCCAAATATGACCCCAATCAAAGATTGGTCGGTGAAGTGATGTGTTTAACTTTTTGGTGTGATGATTATTTGGTGTCTTTATGTGAACTTAATTTGGGGAAATCTTAAAAAGGAAAGTTAGAAATTAAATGAGGAATAGAGTGAGTATGAAATAGCTATACGTCCTCGCAAACTCTATCATGGTACGAAAGCAAGTATGCCCCATGTGTGACCGTTCCATATAGGATGGAAAGAGCATAGAATTCATAGCAGTATCTAGGAAGAACTGGAACAAGGTGATTAGACATGACCTTTGACTTCTGGATCTTAGCAAAGATATGAACTTAGATAGAGATGTTTGGAGATCTAGTACTAGAGTAGTTGGGTAGGCTTTTGGTCCCTCGTTGTTTCTGCATGTGTGTTTTGGCTATGTCTAGAGACTAGAGCTAGTGCTCATGGGCTTCCTGCATTTTGGGCCTTGTTGCTAGTGTCTCTGACTCTATGTGTCATTTCTTGTGCTTTTTGCATCTTTGCTCTTACTCGATGTATTTTACCTTGTCTATTTTGTTTAATTTTTATATATGTGCTTCTGTTTTTGAGCCGAGGGTCTCTTGGACATAGCTTCTTTACTTTTGGGTGGGGTAAGGTCTTGCGTACACACCTTTCCCGAACTCTACTTCGGTGGGATTTTATTGGCTTCGTTGTTGTGTGTGGTGTGTGTGATATTTAAATTTACCCAAGTTTATTTGTAACTTTCACTGAATGATGATTTCGACATCCTAACTTTCGCTCCATTATCCCTTCTTTTCTCCATGTTTTCCTTTTCATTTATGTTTTTACTCATTTTCTTGTGCTCCACTTTCAGACCTGAGGTCCTAGATGTCATGAGATATCACTCACATCTTCTCATATCAATTCCACCTGTTCCCGCCATCGGTGATCCTGTAAACCTTACATCTATCTTCTTTGCTCATAGTAATGGTTTTTAAATATAAGAGTTCTTTTTATTAATTACATTCTTCTAATAAGATCATATCTTCTGCAGATGCTTCAACATAAAGAATTACTAAATAATAGTTTGAAAGATGGCGATCTCAGGTGGCTCGGCTACTTGTCATCAACTAGTATGACTCACTTGCAAATTTATGTTTTGCACTAAAAATTTATGTGATGGGTAGGCATATAAGCATATTAATGCTGGTGATGTTTGTTTGGATCGTCTTTTGACTTGTAGGTCTATATGGGGACTGTAGTGGTGCATGGGTAGATGAAGAGTAAGTTGCAAATGGGAATTGGCACTTTATTGATTTGTCCAAAATTGAAATCTTCTATAACGTCATTGATAATAAGACTTGGGATCCAATCTTCAAAGGTTGATAGGTGTATATGTTGGTGTGTTAACTTATATGATTGCGACGTGAGTTGGTCTAAAATTTGTCTGGTGCATTATATGTCCAGGTTTCCAGCAAGGCCTACAAACGAATCGGCTAGAGCTAGATTAGCTGCTGAAGAAGGATGGCTGCAGTTGGGTCTTGATCTTGAGGTTGCTGCCCATGTATTCCGACTTGGTGGTATCTATGGCCCTGGCAGAAGGTTGTGGTGAACTTTTCAGAAATATTCTAATGCTCGATAACTGGGATTAGTTGGATCCCTTGGATAAGTATAAGGGCTCCTTTGTCATAGCTGTGTTTCTGGAGAGAAAGTTAGCTGTGGCGGTGAGTGTGGTAACCAGAACACTAATATGAAACACAAAAGTGTATTTGACAAACTAATTGTGGCAGGGTGTTAGAAAATAAAAAACAACCGCAAATCCGCAATATAATCTCCACTCTCTTGGGTTATGGGGTCAAGATGTACACAACTTTACCCGTGTAAAAAAAGATAGGTTGGGTCGGACCCTTGCTGCATTTACATCCCAAAACTCTCAAGTCTCAAGTAAGAAGCAAGTATAGTAATATGCCTTTGGGACTTATCCTGGCTAGAGCCAGACCGACATAAAGATACCCTCATATCCCCAACCTTAAATTTTTTATTTAGTTAATTGTTTACTTGAAGCTAAAACATTGTACAAAATGACTGTTTTAGCTCCACTTACGATGGACTCAAAATAAAATAATTACCCATTTACCCGAGTACATAGTAAATAAATAACAATTATTTTATTAAAACCAAACTCACATTGCTATTTCAGTAGAGGCTATCAAACTGCAGTGAAGGGTGAGATAAGATGCCTACCTCAACAATGCCATCATATCATGGGGTTGTTTGAAAACAACGTTTGTGGTTACCGTTTCGGATAATTTTTCAATGGTCTAGATTAGCTTTTAAAATGGTAACACTAAAAGTTACCATTGGATAGCATTTGCAAAACGCTCAAGCTAATACCAAATGGATCACACTTCAATGCGTAAGGCACCAAGCTGCAATGCAGTGAGAATTTCATATACAATCTTTCAAATCCCTGCAACAAAAGTCAAAACAAAGGTAGCTTATATTACCAGTGTTTATCTTGTGATAACGGGAAAACATGTGATGATTGACGAAACATTTTAAGAGTACATACGCCCTCTGCCCTTGTTGCACTTGTAAGGGTGTTTCTAGAAGAATTCCCCCCCCCCCCCCCCCCCTTTTTTATAAGAGAATTTGATGCTTTTGAGGCTTGCAGAAAATGATCTTCATAAAATATCTGATCTTTAAAAGTTTTGAGGCTACTTTTTTGCCTTTACTTTTTAGGGGTAAAACTTTAAAGTTAAACTTCATATGAAGTTAGGTTTTTACATTGTTACAACATTTCTTGGCACTAGTGAAGTTGCTAGAAATCCCTTATAAATAGGACCAAAGTGAGTGCTTTTTTGGGGGGTCTAATGAGTTTTTTGTTGCAGTGCTGTTGGTACCATTCTTAAGCAGGGGAATCTCTCAAAGAATCAGGTCATAAGATCTTCCAAGCATTTCATCTCTCGAGTTCATGTTGCTGACATCTGCCAAGCACTCAATGCCAGCATCCAGAATCCATCTCCGGGGTAAGTTTGCATATAATTACTCTTTTCAATTTGTAACAAGTTTATTTACCATCAAAGGTAAGGTAATGCCACAAAACACAAGATACACATGTTCATGTGCACAGGTTTATATCATTTTTTTTTGTAGTTGCAGTTTGCAGATCATTATTTGCAGTTGTGAATTTATGGCATATGGGAGAATGTAAATAAATACTCGATCCGTTGAGAGAAGTCTTGTTTCAATATATATATATATATATATATATATATATATATATATGTCCCAAATAGTAATCTTTCAACATTTCAGAAAATGGAGTTTTTTCATTGAGTATGATGTATTTTTCAAATAAATCCAAACAATTCAAGTATATGCTAAATCTAGTTGAAGATACAAATGAATTAAAAAATAAGAGTAGGATCGATAATTTGCAAGACTTGTACCTTTCCAAAGTGAAAGTGGTATCTTGATGAAAAAAACATTATCTTTTTTAGACGGATGTAGTACGGGTTATCAAGTGCAGTTAAAAGGGCCTTAATAATGCAAAATGTTGAATACTTATGTGATTGCATGTTTGATTTTGCTCTTTGACAATTTATATTGCTATATTGTTTCTACAACAACAAGTCAACAACAACAAATCTAGTAAAATCTCACAAAGATAGGGTAAATAGGGGTTCGGAGGGTGAGTGCATGTAACCTTCCTAATGGGGATCTGCATACACTCACCCTCGACCCTATTATCTATGGGATTTTCCTGGGTTTGTTTGTTATTGGTTTTTTTTAAATCTTATTTTCTTGATTACTCCATTCTCAATTCATCAGTAGGATATACAACATAGTGGATGATGAGCCTGCTCCTAGAGAGGAAGTGTTTGGATTTGCTGAGAGATTGGTTGAGAAGAAATGGCCAGACATGGTCCTCACCAAACAGTGCGATGAAGATTCACCAGTTCTGTCCAGTGGAGCTTATAGAGGAGGCGAAAAGCGAGTTTCAAATGCCCGGATGAAAAAAGAACTTGGAGTTGAGCTGATTTACCCAACATACAAGTCTGGGCTGGTTAGCATCATTGACCAAATGGCTATGCCCTGAATTCTTTCTTCCTCCTGAAGTCGATTGGGTTCTATATGCATCAAGAAATGGAAAAGGCTAAAAGTGCCCCCATGGGAGTAGCCTTTGGGTCACTATAGCAAGATCCTCAAGAAAGCTAAGTTGATCTCTTAACCCTATTAGCAATTGATGCAAATAGGAGAAAACTGTTCACTTGTTAATTGCATAACTAATTAAGGAGTGGTGCTAGAATAAAATCAAGTTTGACATCGCGGATGACAACTGTTTGTAAATTTGCACACACACACTATAATCATCTGCGAATTGTACTTGTTCCCATAAGATTGCATAAATTACAATTAAGGTTGATATCCGTAAAATTACCAAGCCATCTTTTTACTTGTAATTTGTCCTTGCTTATGTCAGTCACATAATGATTTGATATTTGGGTTGAGACATGTTTCAAAGTATTTTACTCCATGTTGGCTGGTTTACTCCATGTTTCAAAGTATTTTACTCAACCAATCATACCCCTTGTTAGTATACTCTTCTCCTTTGACCTATCTTAAAGACTTGTCTATTTTCAAAATTTTTCTAGTGCTCCACCGCCACGTAATCATTGCAGTAGAATTGAGACACTACAAGTATGAGTAAGATGGTGAGTGCGATCAATGCTGATGTAACGTTGAGTGGTTATTGACTCAACGTTACATCAGCATTGATCGCACTCACCATCTTACTCATACTTGTAGTGTCTCAATTCTACTGCAATGATTACGTTTTTATTTTTAATTAATATTTAAAAAAACTTTTACTTTTGTTCTACTTTTTTCTTTTACTTTTTTATAACAAAAAAAACATAAAATAGTTTAATTCAAAAGGAAAAACATATAAACGAGACACGATTAAAATGTGTTTCATTCAAAAAATAGTAAAAAAAACATAGTTCATTCAATCCGACAATTGTTTGACTGAAAATATATGTGAGACGTAACGTCAAAATTATATATACAATATTAGAATCGTTGAGTAGATGTAGATCTTATGAAAAAAAATTCCGATGACATTATTTTGTCAAATAATGACTTACATGATGAATAAAATATTATTGATCTCAATATTACAAAAGGTTCACCTCCCCATATATATACGGAGTACAAAGAAGGTATACAAAGAGAGTAACAATAATATAAGAAAACCTATACAATGAAGCAAACGACCAAATATTAAATATATAACAATAAAAAATATGGAAATATTTAACATGCTCCCCGCTACGTCCACGACGAGCGAACCCCAAGATTATGTCAAAAGTCTGTGAAGAGAAGTGATAAAGTCCTTTAGTAAAAATGTCAGCACATTGAGAGAAAGAAGGAACACGAAAAACATGAACTTGACCAAGTGCTACCTTGTCCCAAATAAAGTGAATATCAACCTCTACATGTTTGGTGCGTTGGTGCTCAAAAGAGTTAGAAGACACTAAGACAGGTAGACGGTATTAATGTTGTCGCAAATTACAATAGTGGGTCGGCGTAGAGGTTGGTATAGTTCAATAAGAAGATTGGGTATCCACTTACCCCCACTCTCCACTTAGCAATTTAGCATGGTAAGATGAAATAAACAAATAAGTATTTGAGATACTTCGTAAATAGCTTTGAACAGTTCAATCCGTGATAATCAGTTTTATATATTTGTATCATGGTCTCGTCCTATTTGATATCGGTTCGATTTCAGTTCAGATGGAACAAATCAATCCTGTTTAAAAATATTATATATAAATGGTTTGGTGTCGTTATGGTCCGTTAGGGTACATGCTAGCTAGTTTGGTTTTTTTAGAGTTGGACTTCTAGGATTGCGACATGTGTCACACTAATTAGAATGTTTATGTGTCATAATTTGGACAAATAAGCATACACCTAAGCGAACACATATTATTAAAAAAAATACGAGAAATGCTTGGTTCATAAACAAAACCATCACAAATTTCACAAACTTAATATCTCTGAAGTTCAATAATAAATATAGTGTGAAATAATATTAAAATGAGAATTTACATCTGAAATGGTAAGTTTGTAAAGTTTGTGAACCTAGCTAGCATTGCTCAAAAACTACTCGGTATTATATTTCATTCCTTAGAAATCACTAGCCAATTTTTAAATAGGGTAAATGTTTATAATTAAGATGGTACTAAATTATATTTATATTTCCCTCTTAGGAATTCATTTTTCACTTTATATTAAGTGTCTAAATAAAATTATGGTTCGGTGTCTTTACGGTCCAATAGGGTACATGCTAGCTAGTTTGGTTTTTTTCCTACCCCTAGAAAGATTGAATGTATTAGCTATATGGTGAATGTGAAAGACTCAATAGATTTACCAAATCTTTGCATTAAATGTATTCCTTGCGTTTTTAAAACACTTTATCTTGTAATTTTTTTGTTTTCCCTAAAATTCTTCCACTTTCTATGACAAAATCACATTTATCCATATTTTTTTCTTACCATACATTTCACTTTTATCATTTTATCCATCACATCAAAGGCAAAATTCAAAAATCAAATATAAATATAAACTTATTATTCTTTCTAAAAGTCAAAATAAGAACCATTTTATGAAAGAGGGAAGTAATATAAAAAGAGACATCTGTAGTCTGTAGACATGCTATTTAGTCCTCCATTATTAACTTTTCCCATGCAAAGCTTTGCCCCATCCGAAAGGATTCATTGTTGAAAGTTCTCCCACACCGGAAATTTTAATCCTAATAACCAAAATATATACCAAAGTCTATCACCGGTTATCACCCACTTATAGAGTTACCACAATTATCGGGTGCACATGTCGGCTTTTCCTGCAGATGATCATTCTCGACCCAAATTAGGCTCCCTCAACTTCTGACAGGTATCAATTTTTTTTTATTAATTTGTGTGTTTTCAAGTGCTAAAATTATTGTTGGATCAAGTAATAAAATCAATAGAAAACTTCAATACTCTAGCTTGTGAACTATACTAACTTTCAATTTCAAATATAAACATTTTTATTGAAACTCAATTTTTAATTGTTTGTGTCACTACTTGATTCATACTCCTTCCGTCCCACTGTCTTTGTCCACTTACCTTTTGGCACACCATCTAATGTACTTCTTTAATCTATTTTATCTTGATATATTAAACAATCATGCAAATTATATATTAATAATCTATATGTTAAGACGAATCAAACAAGATCACACATGACTATATTTAGGCTTACACATTAAGAGAATTTGATGAGTCAAATTGCTTAGATGAACAGTTACAAAAGTTAAAAGTGGACAAAGACAATGGGACAGAGGTAATATTAATTAGTATTTTTCAAGTGCTAAAATTATTGTCTGGATCAAGTAATAAAATCAGTAGAAAACTTCAATAATCGCTTGTGAACTATACTAACTTTCAATTTCAAATATAAACATTTTTATTGAAACTCAATTTTTAATTGTTTGTGTCACTACTTGATTAATATATGATTAACTTATTCTAATCTCCACTCCTAATACTTGTTTATTTATATGGGTATAGAGTGTGAATAGCAGCCTTAGCCTGGTATGGGATTCACATATTTTACTATGGCCAAATAGCTCCGGTGCCCTCTGTGGTTTGGAAAATTGACACCAATACCCCCTCTATTTTCAAAACTTACTTTTAAAGTCCTCGTGGTTTCAAAACGTTGCACCCACACCCCCTCCGATCATTTTATGGCGAAGAGGGGGCATTTGCGCATACTTTTTAAGTCATAGGGGGCATTCGTGCTCATTTTTTATTTTTGTTTATTATTTGTGTTTTCCTTTTTTAAATATTTTCTATCTCTTTTTCCTTTTCCCAAATTTTTTTCTAATTTATTTTCAATTTTTTATAATTTTTTAAAATTTTTGTGTTTGAAATCAATATAAAAATAAAAAAATTAACATACATTACATCTATTTCAAATTAAATATTTTCACTTTTTTTAACGTGCTTATTTGAAAGTTCAAAAAAAACATAGAATAAAAAAATATGGAAAAATAAAATGAAAAATAAAAATACACAAAAAAAGTCTGATACAAAAAAATGGACAAGCCTAAAAAAGTCCTTAGACTTGAGATGTTCAAAAAAATATTCATTTTTTATGTAGTCCGTATTATTTTGTTTCTTATTTTATTCCTCATTTTTTGAAATTCTTAAAAAAAAGTTTACTTTTTTCAGAAAAAACAAAAATTGTTGATTTGAGACGTACATATACATTATATGTTAGATTTTTCATACAAAAATAACTTTAAAATTTATGAATATTATAAAAATAATTTAAAAAACCTTTATTAATAAATGAAACAAATATAGGAAAAATGGTAAAAACAAAAAATAATCGAAAAATAAATATCAGCACTGATACCCCTTTTGGTGTAGTAAATATGCACCAATGCCTCCCCTTCTTCGCTGGAAAATGGCCGGAAAATTATCAGAGGGGGGCACGGGTGCAACATTTTGAAACCACAAGGACTTTAGAAATAAGTTTTGAAAACAGAGAGGGTTTTGGTGCCTATTTTGCAAACCACGGGGGGTACTGATGCTATTTGGCCATTTTATTATATGTTATTTTCTTAATTTATGCACGTTTTTCTTGGTTGATAATTAAGGTTGTTTGACTTCAAAAGCTAAAACTATTACTTTGATCAAGTACTAACATCATTATAAAACTTCAATAGTCTAGTTTGTAGGGGTGTGCATTATTCGGTCCGGTCTTCGGAACCTGGCCAAAACCGGACTGGACCGGTCCTTATTCTGTCCGGTCTCCGGTCCTCATTTTTTCCTTATTTGGGCCGGGTTCCGGTCCGGTCCGGTCCGGTCCACCGGGTTTCGGTCCGGACCGGTGGACCGGTTAGATTTTTTTTAAATATTTTTTTCTATATAAGTTTATAACATTGTACTCCCTCCGTCCCCCATAGATCTTCCCAATAGCCCTTTTTCTTTGTCCACAATAGATCTTCTCATTTCATTTTTTAATAAGTAAAATACCACAACTACCCCCACTTACTTTATTTATTACATCTCACCCACCTTATTTAATACACTCCACCCATTTTTCATTAAGGGTATTATGGTAAACTTTTACCTTTTTTCAACTCTTCCTAAAAACCACCAAAAGTCAAAATGAGAACATTTTAGGGGGACGGAGGGAGTATTTTTTAAGGTTTTTTCTTATACTTAAAATTAGTTCAACTTTAATGCTAATTTTTTAAATGTTTTGATTTTATTATTTAATATAATTTTTTAAATACATTTCAATTTAAAATAAGATACCAATTGTAATGATTTTTAAATTTTTTTAATATGAAAAGTGTGAAAAAGTAAAC